CCCCCCCGTTTTTTGAATAAATCAACGCAGACATCGTCAGAGGCCTAATTTTTTGGCAAAAAGCTCCTAACGCCTACCTCACACCTTTTGGTATTGTTATATCATCGATCATGCGTGCGAAAGTGGTTCAGCATGGTTCTTTTTCTTGGATAATTGGAATCGAGGTTGTTCCCTTTGTCGGTCCTCTTCTGCATCGCGGCGACGCCATGGTGCATGTGACTCACGAAATTTGCGTTCCAAGAATTATTTTGGACCCCAAAAGCCTGATTTCTTCTGCATTGATCATTCCAGAGACAATATAGAAAGCTGAGAATCCACTAAGTCCACGAAATGAAAGATGGCAAAAATCCAGGTTCTTGATCGTCAGAAATAAAGCCCAGGTGAAATGAACCTCAGCAAAGGTTTATGATAAACATCTGTCAGTGCAATGGTTTACTTCAATTATCGATAGTACGTGCACTAAATCTAATTCAAAATGCGGAAACCTGCCATTGGATGACACTGTACAATTTTTGTATGAACAGTCTATGCCTTTTCCTATGTTTTTTTGCTTCAAAAAAATACCATGCTAATAATTGTCATAGTAAGGAATGTATCGACAGCAGTTGACTGCGATACCGCGTGTTGAACCTCGATTGCGAGGCTGTTGATCAATTGTATGATTCCAATACAACTTTGCATATTACCTAGGTTCTAGGTTTGCTCATGCGTTGGCTAGGCTCAATGATAAATACTTTTTTTATCTTCCGACTTAAGATATTTTTCTCGCCGTATATTCCAGTTGTTTTGTCCGCAACAGCGAAGCAGCTGTTACAGTCGAGGTTCGAGGTTGAACGCCTGGCAGTGCGGTTTCTGCTTGATTATACATTTTGTACTGTAGCATACAGATTCTCCCCCCCCCCTCCAAAAAAAGGCAAATTAATTATTATCTGAAACGTACGAGAAAACATGAACTCCTATTTGAAAGCCTATTTACAGAATCGAAAGCCTGAAGTTTTATTTACATAATTTGATTTTCGCCATTCCTGTGTTAAAGAAATGAAAGAATATATATTTTGTGACCGTTGGAATGTCGGTCTTCCTTCACTTTCATGATGAAGCCATTCTTGAGGCCCTTGTTTCATGAAGTTAATAGTGGGTGCTGAGCTCCAGTTCCATGCCGTCACTCAGAAGTGCCTTATTTTGTAAAGTCTGACTGCAGCTATAATGGCAAGCATAGAATGGGGTCTCCTATTTCCTACCCGCAAAGATGTACGCTCTTATCAAACACCGAAGGATCAAAGGCGAGCGACTCCATCCGAGTCGTGAATCCGGAACTCCTCGGTTATGAGTCCGATAGTCTGCCGACTAAACAACTCTCTCACTCTTAATCTGTGTATCAAATTCCTTGCTCAAGCAAATTCATGGTTAAGGTAAAGGTTGTCTGCCGCCGGAATCGAACCCGGCACCTTCGAAGTATGAAGTCGATCTTGTAATCATTCTACCACCGCGGCACATCGTCCCCATTTCGCAGTAATTGCAATGGCGGAAGATATGAAACGATCATTTTTGGCCTATGTGATAAAGCTGTGAAACGTACGATGCGGATACTTGGCACTAAAATATTAATACATTGAATGTGTCGCAAGTTTTAATATGCTGGACATTGGCCAATTAGTTGAGGATGGCCAATGCTGTTTTGCTAACACACTAGCAGTTCTAAAAGACACTTGAATTTGAGTCTACGCTTTGTGTCTAAAATCGTGGAAATATAAATTTTATTGAGATAGAACATAGAAACTAGAAATTTCAGAAGTAACCGGCCAATTTATTATGACCTTCCTGTGAAGCATGATGAAAGCTTCATCTTTCAAATATCCTGCATAGCTAAATTATGAAATAATGCAACTATTTTCAGCTGAACCTGTTGTACAACTGCTACTATAAAATACCTTCGATGATGAGGCTGCTGCCATGGCGATTTGGGACTCGAGGCTTTTGGCCACAAGGTATAAATCTGTTGCATGAAAATTATTTCGATTAAATATCAGTTATTTTCTATTAATACAGAGCATAAAAGTTATATAGTTAAATGCAGCACAGGCAGCAGTTCTATCGAATGATTATTCACCGCAACTAGCGTTTCAGTCCTTGCTTTACAGCCTTCCTCACCGACAATGGTTTGTGCTTCTTCTCTTTCCCATCCTCTGTAGCAACTGAAGCACGTCGAGCCATGGACCGAGTCATAAAACTAGCTGTAAATTTATGGAAGGTGGCAGAAGGCAATGGACGCATGAGCATAATAATTTATTACTGTTTCATGTGTCATTCATATTTATTTTTGCAGCATATCCACCGTACTTACTTGCCGCCCCACAAAGGAACCCTCAAATGAACACCTTTGCTCCCTCGATGCAATATCCACCGAGCGCCGTACGTCCCAGGTACAGAAGATACAATCCAGACCTTTATTATGATCGTTGGTTTCATCAAAGTAATTATGGATGTTTATGCATATAATTAATAATGATTTTCAGATAGGTTTGAAGACGATATCATCGGTATGGACTTCTATGATGCATACAGAAGTGAACTAGTAAGAATAGCACATGCTTTGCTGGTCACGTTAATGATTTGCTTTCAACTCTTGTCTTTTTCAGCTTAACGAAAGACCCTATAGTCGAACCGCCGTAAAAAACAAGAATTTATTGTGGCCCAACGGTGTAGTTGCATATGTATTTGATAATAGGCTAGGTAATATTGACGATAAACATAATCATATTTATATTAAATTTTAGGCTATCACCAAAGACTCATAAGACAAGCAATGGATAGAATAGAGAGTGTGTCTTGCGTTCGGTTCGTTCAGCGAACTCGGCAAAGCGATTACTTGTACATATTTCCCGGCGATGGGTAAGTTCGATATTTAGTCTTACAAATGAATTTGCATGAGAATGACTGCCAACTACAGAATTTAATATTCAAATACTGATACAGTATTTACACGGCGAAAACAAATCGTGTAAAGAAAAAGATTTTTTCTTACTTTACACCGATACCGCGGTACTGTAAGATAGATAGCTCAATATTTCACTGTCCTCTTGCTTCTAGTCATCTAAACGGACCATTTCGATGCAATAGCCGTGACATGATTAGGCTACTCCAGAAGATCGGAGTCATATTTTGTTCCATTTTTCATAAAGAATTAAAATTAACAGTTTGCCATTTTACTTCAAATGCTCATTTAATAGATCATAAGCAAAATTAGGTATCAAACGCAAAATTCATGGCTAATCACTCTTAATGTTGCTTTCAGTTGTTATTCCATGGTTGGGAAGGCTGGAGGAAAACAACCTCTTTCTCTGGGACCTGGATGCTACTATTTTGAAGTCGCTGAACACGAGCTGATGCACGGTATAGGATTTTGGCATGAGCACGGTCGTCCGGATAGAGACAAATACGTCCAGATACTTATGCAGAACGTTGACAGAAGTACAGAAGCACTTTTTTATCATACTTATTGAAAATTCGTTCGTTGAAGGAGAAAGTTCACAGTTTGGCAAAAACGACCCCATGGTCGTTGATACGCTGGACGAAGACTACGACTACAGATCGATCATGCACTACGGCCAGAAGACGTTCAGCGCCAACGGCTTAGATACAATTGTCCCTCGTGTCAGCGGAGTGCCAATAGGAATCGCGAAGGATCTTTCCATAACCGATATTAGAAAGGTAAATGTTCGCCTGTTGCCTATGTCTGTACAACTTTTGCAAATCATATCTAATATGGTTGTTGGGATTGATAATAGCCGTTTTAAAAAATGACCGAGCTCAAGGAAATAAATTTGCCATATAAAAGTAATAGCAACTAAGTGACTTGACTTTTTGACTTTCAGATTAACAAATTATACAATTGTAAATCCAAAGAGATAGTTTCGACGCCAGCACAGCTAATTGCCACAACGCCTGCATCCTCTGCTACTACTCAGCCAGGTAAGTACTATTACTCTAACTATTCAATGCTCAGAATTATAAATTATATCTTTGGTTAAAAACGATCTTTCGTTTAACGTACCCCTAAAAGAGTTTCTAATCTACGCAGGTTGCTCGGATCATCATATCGACTGCCCGCTGTACAAATATTTA